CCCCAAAACCCCAAAACCCCAAAACCCCAAAACCCCAGAAAGTAAAATAAATTGAATCACAGAAATCGCAATTTCAGCATTAAATTTTCATAAAACTCTTAATTTGATAGATAAGAGATATCTTCCAGGGTCTTATGAAGATGTATTTGATGAAAAATAAGCGTAAGCACTATTGCCATTAAAATAAGCACCTTGAAGTCTTTCTTCAAGCTGTTTATCTTCACTTGAGCTAGATGAGGTCATGGCAATACTCTTGATTGAGTTATCTCTAAGGATGCCTCTATAGTGCTTGTACTTTGCAAATTCATTGATAATGAGCTTCATTGCAAGCACTATAAAGATGCACAGAAGAATAGGCAATATTAAAGAAAGAATATTCGTCCCTGTACCTAGCTTCTCTTCTGAAAGACTCCAAAGAATAGGATCAATCTCTGAGCAATTTGAAGTACTGTTGGTTGAATTCAAGGGTAAAAAGAATTGTCTGGTCCTTGTCCTAATACATACTGAGTTATTTGTCCAGTATTCAAAGCCCATTGAGGTAAATACCTTGCTACATGCTTTGAATAGTTTGTTCCAATAGAACAGTTCCATTTGCCACCAACCATAATCTAATTCGCTTAGGACGAATCTGCTGTAGATCCTGAAGATATCCATAAATCCAGTCATCCAATGTGCCTTACTTAATATTTATCGCAGAGCTGATCCTCTAGAGCAGCAGGGAAATATTCAGGAATTGCGTATTTGTATAAGTATAGTAACGGAATGTAAATAAACGTAGCAAGAGGGTCATAAAGTTCTATTATAGTCTTTGATGATATAAGTGAAGCTCTTCAATGATTTGAAAGCAAAGTTCAGCCTTAAAGGACAGTACCTCTATTGGGTTGTTAAACATTGATGTGGAGAGTCAAGCGTACAGTTTACTTCTTCTTTCAAAATATAAAATGACTTCTAGGCTCAATGGAAAGTAGCTTGAAGTGATGTATGGGACATATTATCTCTATTCAACAGATTTGAGTAATCTTCATTATTTTCAATTGAAGGAAATCAATCTCACAGGCTTATAACGAAGAAAGGGTAGTAACGAAATGAATTCACATGTCCAGGCTCACAACCACTCATTGGTAGGCTGATTAGCACTAAAATAAACAAGTACTTTCTCATATTAATTATATAATTCTATAAAGATATGCCTTTGGGGTTTTGGGGTTTTGGGGTTTTGGGG